TTCTCTCTTTCTCTCCCGGGTCCTCATGTATTAAACATGTCGCCGGCATGATGCAGCAAACTGTGCATTCAGATGCCGAAAGGAAGGCATTGAGAATTGATATGAAATTGGGACAAAATATCCTTAAAATTCATATACCTAATACCTTTTGAATTGCTCTGGTATTGACCAAGTACACTGCAGAAACGTCGTTAAACGGGCCGCGATATTAATCACTTGGGGAAAATCCACAGTTAACGTCCGTCCATCAAAGTACTTGCAACCGTTCCACTTCTTCCAAACCAAAGCCAAACCACCCAAATTAGCTTAGCGGATATCGACCATCTGTTACATAGTTTAACTACGTATTAGATTAACAAAGTATGATCATTTCATATTGTCGCATGCTGGGGAATGTATATTTTTCATCAGGGCCGTGGGGATGTTGACAAGGATCTGTGTCCTTTTTTTACTCTCGCGTCTATATTCAGTCTAACAATGTTTCGCCATCCCCTCAGAAGCGGAGGCCGTGTGTGTGTATGTGTGTGTGTGTGTGTGTTGCTGTGAGCCTCTCTGGGACTGTGTACATTAGTGTGTCGAGTCTACATGGAGTTTGGGAACAGGCCGTCCAACATGGGCTCCATTTTCACTCCAGTGATCCTGGTAATGGCCTCGTCCCATTGTGAATTGACGCTGGCTCCGAGTCGCCTTGACAGAAAATCAACTGCTTACGTGTAGCGGTTTGCTGAAGCGCGCGTAGTAGCAGGCTTATCGCTCCCTGCGTTCTGTAGCTGGTCGTCTCTCTTTCTCCTTCCCCCCCGTCTCACCAATGACTCAGATCTCTCCCCATGTCTGTCTGTCTGTCCCTCCGTCCGTGTCATTTCCATTCGTCGCCAATCCCCTTTTCTCAGATATTACGCATATCTTCATTTCTTTGCTTCTGCCCTTCAACCTTCTGTCTCTTTCTCATCTTTTAATATCTTTCAGTCAGAGGAGAGAAGAATACTGAACCATTTCTCTCAGGTAGAAGTCCTGTTAGCTGAAGTATAAAAGTTTAAAGTTGTGTATGGATAAAAGAATTTATAACGATTGTGTCTAGATTGCATATGAATGTGTTTAATTAGCTCATGCCGGTTTAGAATGTGTCAATTAGAAATGATTTGTAAATGCATGCACACATCCGCTGGCTGAAGAACTTCCAAACTGACAGCATGTTGCATCTTGGTCAAAGCGCTTGACTCATAAGTGTCTTTTAGAAGCATTTCGTAGAGACGAGGTTGCATTAAATGGATGGTGGGACACTCATCAGCTTCCTCAACAACGGTCAGTGACGCAGATGTTGAGGTTCCCGAAGGTTAGAACCTGATGTGAAAAATGATATATTAGATTTATCACATAGAAAAATAGACGGATTTGCGCTCATCCGTTGATATAAACGGATTTTGATGCAAAACATCAATCAATTAAAAGTCGATGCCTTCAAAACTGATGAAGATCACTATCATAAAGCCTGTGTAGAATCGTGTAACACTTTCTATCGATGTTGTCATCAAATATCTGCAGATCGTGCAGCTCTCATTCAATACAGTGTACACAGTGCTTTCACACAGGTTGTTATTAGTAATGGACCCAAACCAATGTGCTTTGTTGCATGTGACAGTAAGCCTGTGTTGTTGTCCTCCCTCTTGCTCTCTTTTCCATCCTTTTCCTCTCATCCTCGAGCCACCGGGGCTCTTTGCCTTAGTGATCACATCTCGGCTCTAATCTCTAAACACCATCGCGCCCACAGGAAGGCTTGAACTTAAACACAGAGATTAAACAGGAGAAAGAGATCCATCCCCTTGGACATCCAACTCGCCCCTGCACCATCCGTCCCTGTCCTCCCATCTGCACCCATTTCTTTCCTTTTACAGTCCCAAAAATAATTACCTGCTCGCTAAAAGCGCCCAGAACCGCCGTAAGGCTTCAGCATTGTGCAGGAACAGAGATGAAACAAGAGGATGGGGGGGGGGGGGGAGTCAGAAAATGGGAACAGAATGGCGCAGCGAGGAGGATTTCACTTCTTTACTTTGCTCTCTGCTTTCATCTCTTACCATCATCCTCGTTCATGTTCTGTTTGCGTTTCGGATTTGTGTACTTGTGCTGGTGTCATTCCCCCTTGGTCTGTTTCTCTCTTGTCTCGCTCTCGCTGTCTCACCATTCTTTATCTCCGCCCCTTAAACCCCCGTTTTCTTTTTCAAAGTTTTATGGTGCGGCATGCGGCAAGTAAGATGCACTGAAACATTGATGCAGCCATCGTCTGATAATAAGATAAATGAGTTTTGAAATGTCCCTGCGTGGCCTGGTCCTCGTAACTCTTCTGCTTTTTGCACCAGCAAGCACTCCTACACAATAAATGCATCTATACTCAAGATAATACACACAAACCTTTAGCGACAGGCTGCGGAGCGCAGTGCCTATCTACGTTCAGACCAATCTCAGCAGTCATTTCTCACCTTTCAAGCCGTAAAGCCGAGTTATTCATCCTCCTCTCATACCCGCCGGAAAGACTGAGGGAAAAGGACACAAAGTCAAAGTAGTAAATTAAGTTGAAACAACAATCCTTCCATGTTTCTCCAGGTGTTTTCTCCTCTCAGTTGTGATGCACTTTGTCTCAAATTAAGAAGGGTTCATCTATCTCTGACAGAACGGATAGAATTGTGAGGTTTTCGGATTTGGAAGTTCTAAAGTTAACTTCAACTTTGAGGTGAACTTTGTGAAGGACACCGCTCATTCAGCAACAATGTGTCCCTTGTGAAGTCTCCTTCACAATTTATCAAGTGGTTTTAGTAGGAAAATTGACAAGCTACTCTGCAGCGTATGTAAAATGAAAATACGATCACATTTACCAGCTGTAACGTTATGGGGACATACCCACAAATCAATAGCCATCATTTTGATGCTAATACTTTCATGCCCTTTTAATTAAATCGTATATGCATGGCTTTTACTAAAGAGTGTACTTTACTCCAAACTGTGGTACTGCTCCTTTACTTAAGTACCAAAAAATACTAGTACTTCCTCCACTGCCGTTCCTTATATATTTGTTTAAATATTTTAACTTGGTTTCAGAGAAATATCAGAACATGACACTGTAGTTGCTGTATTCCAAAACGGAAAATAAATGTGAACGGCTGAATGTGTTACAGTGCGAGTGTCCCACAAAGCATCCTGCCTTTTCCCCAATTTACCAATTAATAAATAGCTAATTTACAGTAACTGTTGATGCCTACATATCGACATATCAGGCTGGAAATCCTTCATACAAAATGTTGCTGGTGTTCCACGGTAGCTAATTGTGGTTTACTTTGTTAGTTTGGTGTGTGTGTAACGCGTCACATGATGGATGAGACCTCGGCGGGTTCAGGGTCTGCAGTCGATACCACCGATACATAATTTTCTCGTCTAAATGAGATTCTCCCTTGAAACAGCCACTTTGTACCCATGCACATTCTAATGCTAACATGCACAATCACACCCAGAGTAACAACCCACAGCTGTGCTTAGCATTAGCTCACTCAAGGTAGACGTTTTCTGTTGCACACGAGGCAGCAGATCGTTCAAGTCAGACTAAAACATGAGAAATTATGTTTCATATTACACTTACTCGCCCTCCTTGTACTTCCCCTGTCGCAGACATGAAAACATGCTCTTTCCTTAACTTTTATCCTTCTTGCATTTCACTTTTTCCACCTAATTATGTCGCGTATTAAACTAGGACAGATTTGTACCGTATTCAACCTAAAAGTATTTATTTTTATATTAAAACATGCCACTGAAGCCTGTGGGTTTTTACGGAAGCACGGTTTACATCTGCTGTGTACTGAGCAGGAAAGCGTTCGCTCTCTGCAGGAGGGATTAATAACACAGTGCCTGAGCTATAATGAAAATCAATCATGGTTCAGGCCTGCGGTTCCAACGCGTGATTACTCGGTCATCATAGTACACCAGAGCCACGATGCCGTCTGTAGGGTCAACAGCAAATATTCCATTCAGTATTTTACCTGCATCTTTCAAAGTACTTTGGACGCCTCCCATCATCACTGGAGATATGCCCAGTTTTCTAATACTCTCCAAACCGTTTCCAATGTTGGTATTTCTTTCAGCCGCTCACAATGATAACTGTTGGGGGGCCAAGTCCTATCTTCAATTATAGTTGTTTTTTTCGTATACCAGTGAATCATGCAATTTTGTAGTGTAATAATTGCACTAAATACTAAAAGCAACACTTTCAAGTGAGACAATATGCTCGACAGATGCAGTGGTAAATACATCTGAGATCCTCAAAATATTAGCTCAATAATTAGCTTGAATTTGAGTCGCACTGCAAACACATGCCCAAACACACACATACGCACAAGCGCATTTGGCAGCAGTCACGCAGTCAATATGTATTCTAATTATACCGATGCTGTGTCAACATTTTAAATGTCTTTGTGAGGCAAAACTCACAAACATTGAGTGGCAGAAGGAGAGAATAACAGCCAAATAGGTGGACAGGAGAGCAAGAGAGGAAAATAGATTTTGATTTCCTCTCCTTGAGCTGCAGGGAAAACAATACAGTATCCCCAACAGGCCGCTGTGAAATAACACAGTCGACAGAAAATGACAGAGGTGGTGAGATTTCTCCTCTCTACATGACAGCAATGATGGTAAAAATACAACTCATCTTATCCGTCACCCCCTTCCCTTTTCTTCGGTTATCTCACTTTCAATCCATCATCTTCATCCGCATTTTACTCTTCTTTCCCTGCTCTTTTCTCCTTTATCCTCCTCATGTCTCATATCTTCCAGCCCAACATTTCTGCTGCCTTTTACGTCAATTGTGTTGTACAAAATATACAGCCTGTGCGTGTCTAAAGCTAAAACGAAATGGTCCAAGCCGATGTATGCGGCTGACGTAACTGATGACCGGGGTCATCAGAGAGACCACCGCTCAACGTGTGATTGTCCGACTGTGTTGCCTTCATGCTCTCTGGCAGGTTGCTGGTAGGCGCGGGAAGAGATATTAAAGGCTCTCTCTACTGCAGATCCTGTCCCGCTAACATCCCAAAGGCCAACACTGGAGGACAGAGTAAACAGGGAGAAAATTCCAGAAAAAACCCGGCGTATCTCGGATGGAGTCAGCCCTGTGTTAGGCCATTTGAGAATACTTGGTGAGAATGGGAACGTTTTTTTGCATGTGCATGTGTGGGAACAGCCTACTCTCCTGTTGATACTTATCATGCTTATCATCTTGTATTAATCCGCTTTTTGCAAAGAGCCTATTTATATCATCAATGTTTCCGTCTGTCCATCCGTAAATGGGATATGTCGGAAACACCCGGAGGTCGCCCCCCCACCCCCTCCGCCCCCCAGTAAGCTTAAGGTTGCCTTGTGTTTTGATGAGATGATGTTTGGTACTATCATTGACCCAGTTAGCACAACGCAACACATCTGAGCAACTTCATGAGGCGACGATGTGTCAATGTTGTTTTTACATTGTTGTTTTGCCCCATGAAGGCCCCCAAAAAACAATGCAAGTCATGACCTCATGTATAACCTTTATAAATGAATTACTAGTAACTACAACACAACGCAGCAATGCATTAGTCAGGATTCAGCCCCCGAGTACACGCTGCACTGATTATGGGAGCGTTGTCAGTGGTAACCACATTAAAGAAGGCTCACTCAGGTAATAATGGCATCAAAAGAGCCATTAATGTTCTGTTCAGTCAAGTTGCACAGTGGCTGATGTGAAACAATTACGCAAGAGTTCATCCATTGCTCCAGGAAACAAAGTCACTTTGTGTACGCTGTTCGTTCCTGCTCTGTCCTCAACGAAAAAATGAAAATACTTAAAAACCAATAAACCCAGCACTCCGTCCCAGTGCTCAGCTGCAGTGTTCAAACATACATGGTCCTTGCATTCCTTCCCAAAGTGGAGCACTGAGGCCCAGAAACATGGTTACATAACACGGGCAAACAGGTGAGACACTTTGTGAGAATAGAGGCAGAAAGCTTCAAAGTGGAATTCATAACATACAAAAGGGAATGTGAGGAAAAAGGGGGTAGATTTGTCAAATATAAGTGAAAAAAGGAAAGTAGGATAATGTTTTAATTTTTGCGTTGAATAGATTCTGCAATATTAAATAGATGCTGATAAAGATATCATCTGTAATTTTAATGGAGCCTCATTCTTAAATCCACATTAAGGCACAGCGAGCAGTGACAACCAGATGAGGACAACACTTTGTCACCAGGATCCTCAGACGAAAAAAGAACCATCGTGCCTTAACTACTATTTTTTTGCAGTAAACAAGACAGGTTGTGAATTGACGCATACGCATCTCTTGGATACATTCAGAGTCCTGTCACCATCTATTTCTAGTGTGTTTTACCTCCATATCCATTTGCCATATGGGCCGTTTATAGTTGAGTCAATTTAAAGGTCAAATCAACCTACAAAGATGCAAATAATGCGTATGTTGTTTATGCAGCCAGCTGGATCTCTGCGGAATCTTCCTGTTATTTGCTCTTTTGTGCAGATGGAAATTGATTATAAGATGGAAATGATGAAAGACGCAACCCACTTATGCCAGGATTCTTTTTACTTTTGACAAACACGAAGCCATAATTACCCTAGTGACAGATTTTAACTCCTATTAGCTTCACTTGCACATTTCAGGCATTAAGTGAGAGTTGAAACATGTATAAGAAATCCTTTTTCCATAAATGTCTTTCCTATACATTAGGAATAGAATGAAAGAGAATAATAAAATAACAGAGCGGGGACCTCCTCTTCCGGTTCTCTCATTATTTTTGATGAGCAGGCAGACCTCATGCGTCCTTTGCTTCACTCTGTTACTCTCTTCCAGCCATCCGCGTGTCTCCCTCTCTCCTTTCCTCTCATTTCCTCTTTTACAACCTTCTTTTCTCCTCAGCCAACTTCCTTTGTACCTCCTCGATCCATTCCCTTGTCCACTTATTCATCAATCCGTCCTTCTCACCTCCTCTCTGTGTTGTGAGAACCTCCTGTGGAATGTTAAAGGAAATTTAGATTCCAGCCACCAGCTTCCGTTTCCTCTGCTTTGGTTCAAATGACGTGATCAATCTTCAGGGGGGAGGATTTGGCCACGTTTGCTGCATACATATTGTGGCAGAAAGACACGCGGTGGCAAACCAGATGGGTCGCTGGTTTCAGTTAGAAAACGGTAGAAAACACCGACATATGAGATCGCCACCTCGCGCAAACACAACTCACGGTGACGAGAGTCTGATGTTCATGATCACGCTGTGACAAGACGTGAAAGAGGGATGTCTGAAAATGTGAAAAATGCCGAAAGAAAATCGGAGTAATCATACAAGTCATTTAGCAGACGCTTTTATCCAAAGCAACTTACATTACACTTTAAACCCATGGCTTTTTCACATTTTTGCCTGGGAAGCAATTAGGGGTTAGGTGTCTTGCTCAGGGACACTTCGACATGGGGAACATGGGGCAGCCTGGAATTGAACCACCAACCTTGTGCTTCCCAGCACACCTTCTCTAACCCCTGCGCCACGACGACGGAGCCACGACCCGGAGTAATCATACAAGTTTGTCAGAATGTAGCAAAACCTTATTTGGTTAAATGGGAAATCAATAGACATCCTGATGTGATAAATAGAAACAAAGCATGCTGTTTAAGCAAGCATTTATATTATGTCAGTAATTGATACCTGGTCAGTGTTTTGATTACGTTAACCATGAGCAAATGGAATTTGTCATTGCACAGCCCGACATCCCATAATACAAACTGCTTTCTAGGTTATTTCCCCCCTTCTCGTCGTTTGCTTGCTTTTTGACATTCTGTCGTCTTTCTTCCATCACAAGGAGTGGAGGCCGCGTGTTTTTAAGCGTGCGTGTCTGTTTGTATGCATGTGTCATGTGCATCACAAGTTCAAGTTGATGCACCTGACACGCGCACCTGTCTCTGCAAACACACGTACTCACACACCGATTGACTGTTGCCGCTGGTAACGTGCCCGGTAACGTAGTAATGCGTCAACAAATGGTTTCTTTCAGAGAAACACAAATTATTTAAAATGAAATCAACCATGAATTAATTTTTATGTGGAAGGTTTTTTCAAACACAAACGTGAACAAATTTGTTCACACGTCATATTGAAAATAATGTATTTTCACCTCAATGTTTTCGCTTGTGTACTTGCAACCCATACATTTAGTTATAACCACAGATATTGTTTAGTAATAACAGTCTATTATTCAATAAGCAGAAGGTTTTACTGCCAATGGCACAACTGGATATTAATTTGTCGGGGACTAACATGTAGTTGTATGAACGTAGTCTTCTCTCTGCATGTCTGTATTGTCGTGTGTGTGTGTGTGTGCGTTTCCGTGTGTGTACACATGTAGCCGGGCCTTCATTTACATGCACATAACCGCTCAACACATAATAAACCACTTTACGATCTTCTCATCCCCTCTTATTTCGACTATCTCCCGCCATCCGTCTCATTTTTCCTCTTTCCTCTTAGTGATGACTGCCCCACCAGCTCATCTCATGCTAATATTCTCAGCCATTAAGTGGATTTATGAGCCTTCTTTCCTGCGAGACCACTAGGACCCACATTGCTCTCTCTCTCTCTCTCTACTTGGATAGCTCCCTGTTTCATGTTTTGTTTGTGCCAACACACACCTACATAGTCTAGATTCTCATCCACATTAAATTAAGAGGCTTTGTGGAAAATTGAGAGCATCATTATCGCAAAAAATGAAGTTGTATTGGAGTAATGTTTACCTCCGTAAAGCGACGTGCCGTTAACGTAAGCTTCCCCGTGCTTTGTTGACGTAGTTGGAAAAATGCTGGGTGCCTGCTAATGCATGTTAGTGCATGTGAGCGTGCATGTGAGCGTGCATGAGCCCTTCCCTACCGCCTACCAGACTACCTCTGCTCTGCACTATGCTTACCCGGCAACCGCCCTGACTAAACGGCGTCTTCACGGAAGCGCAGCAGCCACGCTCCGATGCCCCTCATCTCAACACCGGTACCTCTGTTATTTAGTGTCTCTTTTCGCCATTGTGCGTCAAACTGTAAAACAGAGCTACTCTAGAAACAATATTTTTTAAATTACTTGTGTCTGTATCGTCGCAAAATGAGCTGAAGTCTATTCTGCATTTGGCCATTCAGCATGTTTTGTGTGAGAGGGAAAGGATATAGACACAATAATCCACAGTACACCAACTTTTCAGCTTTAAAACAGAAACCTGAGGTATGGGCTGCTGTTTGGTGCTAATTCTAAGCCTTACAAAATAAAATAATAATTATAATAAAACAATAATAACCTAACTGCTTATACATGAGCGTTTTTCACTTTTTAATAAGCTTCAAATATCAGCCCATAGCAGAGAATGACCTCAGCGCCCCTGAGGCCTCACGACAGCAGGCATGTGTTATTTACTTAAATAAGTGGTGATTATGGTGCGTGTAGGTGTCTGTGTGTCTGTGAGTGTGTGTGTTATTGACTGAAAGAAGAATGAACTGCTCAGAATGTCACCAGTTTTGTTTTTTGGACAGTTTCTTGGGCGCCACATGCTCCTTTATTGTGCTCATGACTTGTAGTGGTGAGCGAACACAAGGAGTGTTCCGGTAGGCTGCAGTCGCTCGCAGTTTTGAGACAAATTCACAGCAGCAGCCGCTCCGATATCCTGACTCATATTGTGTCAACCAACAAAACAAACACTTGGCGCCACAGTTTCCGTAATCACTGTCAGCATCTTTCATTAGACCCGTCGTCCTGCCAGGTGAATTCATGAGCTTTTCAATCCCAACCCAACAACGATTTAAATCCAATTAAAATCTCTTTTTTAAAGTTGCAACTGGATTTGCAACCTATCATGAGAGACGAAGCGCTCACTGTCCCCACAAGCTACATCGTCTGCCCTTTCTGGTTGAACATTGTGTTCACACCATCCAGGAGTCTCTTTTTTCACACCTAGAAAAATTGACCAATAGGCCAAATGGGCAAATACAAATACACACTATATTTCTTTTACTTTGGCCTGTGTGTATCAACTCAAACCAATACGCCAGTGAAAGACACAGAGATTGGGGGGGGAAAGAGGGGGTGTTTTTTTTTTAGCGTCCCAAAGACGCTACAAGTGTGTGCGCTC